CGATACTCAATATCCTATGGACCATACCATCCCAACAATTGGTTTCCCTGTAGAACCCGGACAGTGTGGTCCTTGCAAATATTCGAGCGCAGCATATTTTTCTTAACATTTTGTAGCTCTTGAAAAGCTCTATCTCTCCTGAAAATATGAGTTTCATTTGGTAAACTGACCCAGTGAATCTGTGAGGAGGATTGGGAAATTGATAATGCTTCTGTCCTAGTTAGAAATGTCGAGGAGAAGTGTTGAAAGATGGTCTGAAAGAGGTCTAGATGCTTTATTCTTACTCAGAGAAAGATGTAATTCAATTTTAGAAAGTGTTCTGAGATGATTTTTATTTAGGGTCAGTTTACATGCAAACCATCTCCCCTCCTTTTCAAAATTTAGAAGCCACCGTCGCTAAGGCACTTTAGTTACAGCCGCCACGCCGCCGATGGTATTCGAATTTTTAAAATTTTTGAGCCGCCGCCGCTGGCAACTATCATAAATATCGATGACGTTTTATTTATATTTTCCTTAATGCGGTACTTTTACAGCTTAGAACCCCTATATATCTCTTTTTCATTAACTATCTCGCCTTTACCCTCAGTTTCGTGCTTGTTCTGTAATCAATCAGATGCTGGGGGTTCTAAGCTGTAAAAGAACCCTTAATTCTGTGTCGGTTAAAAATTCTAAGTAATCATTTCAGTTGTTTATGTCTATTATATTAGATATATTTATATATATAAGAACGGACGAGCATTTCAAATTTTGATTAACAAAAAACAAAATAAAACAGGAAACTTGTGTACGCTGGGTACTTTTACTTATTAACGGTCGTGGTGGTGGTTTTTCATTTGTTATTTATCCCGGTGATCATATTTATTTTTCATTATACACTTTTTTTATTATGTCTAGATGTAAAATAAAGTTTTTCCACACATTGATTTGAAAATAAAAAGGACGGGATATGGAAATAGGTCTTGTCTACACTAGAAAATTTGATGCTGAATTAAGAAAAATGATTGGGTGAACAGTTAATTAACAGTTAAAACACTTTTGAAAAATGCATTAACTTTATTGCACTTTTCAGAACCGTATTAAAGTTGATGCACCAATCAAAGTCTGATTCGATTTTCTAATTAGACTGAGCAACTTTCCATGGGCAAGTCCTCTATGATTGAAGTGAAAAAAAACCACGTCTCCTTTCAAAGTCTAGAATTCTGATTGATGCATTAACTTTCAAATGTAGACATGTGTTGATTTAATACGAACTTAATACTGCATTATCTTTATAGTGTAGGCAAGGTTGTAGACAGATGTTTTTTTCATGATACTATAGTGCGTTTTTAAACTTCAAACCGCCGCCGCCGATCAGCCTATCGGCTTACACCTCTATGCGCAATGATTGACACTTTCGATACAGAAGAGAAATATAAACGATATGGTGATATGAATATTTCGTAATAGCCTATCTTGGAATGCATTTGATGGAAGCAAATTGATGATGGAGATTATGAAACAGTGATTGCCGAATCGCGCTTTCCCAGGCAGGCATGATAACAGCCTAAACGGCGTTTAAACGTATCAATATGTAAACTGTTAAAAATGTTTGATTAGTTGTCAAAAACGCGTTAAAACAGCTTAAGATTAATAATTTATTTTTTAACGCGTTTTTTATGTTTAAACGCTCAGAATTGTTAAAAATTCCACTGTTATCACATATTTCATGTAAATGTTTATAATTAATTGAATTCTCTTCCTGTTAAGAGTGTGGACCATGAGTGTGAAAGAAGGATGTGAGTGTGTGAATGCGGTGTGTGGGTGTAGGCCTTCTCTTTGCACCACACACCCATACCCTCATTTAACACAATAATGATACTAGAGCGACTTTCTCTCTTTGCAGCAACAAGAAACACGCACTAAGAAATAATCTACATTTAAACTCGCTGAATCGTTCAATTTGGGAAGATTTTGCTTGATCTATTGAATGGAAAATGATAACATCGAAAGATACTCGTATTGAAGAATTGCCACATGTACTCGTCAGTGCCCAACACGGGTCGGGTCGAGTCACGAAAAACATTTTTGGATTTCGAATTGGATCTGCAGTCTGAACATTTTGCAGATACAAAAGGCACTTAGAATGGTTGCTTTTTCATTTCAAAGTTCTATAAGAGAGCTTGACCAAGCTTAGTAGAACAAGACGTTATGTATCGCACGATCTTTTCTTCTACTTGGCCGACTTTTCTTTAATGACTTTGGACAGCAACGCATAGCGAGTGCACTCTCTGTTCAATAGTTACATAAAGGTCGCAGGTTGTGTACATAAGAATAGAAAGACAAACAAGAAAACACTATCAAATACCCGTGTTGTCCTAACTGGGTAATATCGGCGAGATATCAAGGACATATCCTTTGGATTCCCCCTACTAATGCCGAAAGTTAAATTGTCGAATGAAAAAATCTCGAAAAGTAGAAGCCTCGAAACATAAAAATCTCGAAAGAGAAACGTAGAAACTAAAAACTGTAAACCGCCCCCTCCCTCCAGCAATAGAAGACCACCTAAAGAAAAAGTTCACCAGACGTAATAGAATTAATAAGTGTATTTTTGTCAAAATATGCCTGGTTTTCAGGATTTTGAGCAGAAAAACTTAAGAGAGTAAGTTCAAAATTATGTCTAGGCTCTTCAAATCATGAGAAATTCTGATGGAAATCATAAAAATCGCCTCGGTTTTCTGGAAAACCTTTTTAATTAAAAACTGGAAAAAAATATGGGACATAATACAAGACCTCCCTGGAAAATTTTTACACTGAAACATAATAGGAGACCCGGGGTCTTCTATTGCGGGGGGGGGGGGGGAGTTAGAAGTATACATATGGACATTTAAGAATACCGTAATGGAAAACCATTGATAATAAAAATATCAAAAGCTTGCACGACTCTAGTTGATTTAAGATCTTTACCTATTTTAACTTTCTTCTTCGCAAAAAAAGCTTTTTTTCTATGCATATAAATCGTACAAATGAAATAAATATATTGAACTTTTTTTTATCTTTAACTAAACAACGGTTTATATGACTTCGACATTTCAATAAGACGCCATTATTATCTTCGACCTTTTATGGTTCGATATTTTTACCTATCTGCATTTTAATTTTCGAGATTTATATGTTCTACATTTTTACCTTTCAATTTCCGACTTTCGACATTTTTATTTTTCAGTATTCTTCTAATAACTTTTTTCGAGATTTTTATCTTTCAAGATTTTTATTTTCGATCAAAGTAGGGTGAACCATTCTTTGTTTCCAGCTACGAAGTAAAAGAAGGAAAAAAGGATTGATAAGTTGATTTTTCTCCAAGGAAAGACACAATTGGCCGACAACAGAGTTCTACTCGGGTCAGGTTGGATCAGGTTACGAAAAAAATAGTTGACATCGGGTCGGATCAGGTCAAAAAAATTGACCCATGTCGGACACTGGTACTCGTAGAAATTCGGCAAAAACCTGTTTAGAAAATTGCTTATCTTGAACTGTTTCCTTGAAGATTATTTTGCAAATAAAAGGATGTCATTTGCATTAACGAAAGGTATACCATTTTTGTAGTGAAATAAATAACTAATTCTTGAAAACAAAAATAAAGTTTGAACAGAAAAATATATAAAGCGATTTTTCTTAAAATACAGACGTTCATTATTCGTGCAAGAGTCATTGTTATACAATTATTTTTTCCTTCAATTAATTCTTTAAGATATATTTTCAGTTATTTAGGCTATCACTTCGGTTTTTTAAGAAATATTTTCAGCATTTACAATCATGCTTGGAAGAAAAATCTGATTAAATAGTTTTTTTTAATCTGATAGTTTCTATTAAAATGCAATTCAAGACATGTTTTTTTAATTTTTTTTCCTTTTAGTATAACTTATTTTAATCTATACACATTGATCAAGCTAGAGACCAAGTAGTTATACGAAATAGAGAAATATTGTTTTTGGGAAATTAAACTTCTAGCAGATTTTCTATTTTCTATAAAATATGCGGATTGTGAAATCAAACACGGTTTTATAGAGATGCCCATATGTATTTCTATGTAATTGTCTGATTAGACTATCAAAATATGAATTTCTATTTTCTTGAACATCTTCGTTTCAGGTAAAAATTCGTCGACGAATTCATATAGACATTCCTAGAATCTTCAGCTCTATTCTCTGTAATTTATGTTCTGTTTTACAGGGATAATGTATCTATTTCTTTCTTTTTGTAGCACACGCATGATTTGCATGTTTCAATAAACAAACAACTTACCTTTTGATTATATCGTTCGTCTAGTTTACTTTTGATGATGTGACGATACCAATGATGGTCGTCGTTTATATACCTTTGGATATATCTTTTTTCTGTCCAACATATTTTTCTTCTTTCGTTCTTTTTCGCTTTTTGTAAATTTTTTCTTTCTCTTTTGTCAGCCTATTTATATCATAGTATGGACGCTCATCCGAAAAAATAGCTTAAATAAGTGAAACAATAGCAAATGCTCCATGATTGGCTCTTTGATTTTTGAGAGGGGCTAGATATAGCTTTGATATCAGTAGATACAGAAAATTATTCTCTATCGAACTGCATTCTTAGTTTTTGAAAAAAAAGAGGCAAGTAAAAAATAGATGGCGCTATCATATGGTGTCAATACATTTGCTTTAGCTAAATATCGTTAAATACTGTTAGATCGCTCCTTTAAAATTTCTCTCTTGAAAGTTGTTTTGAAATATAAATTCAGCTAAATTTCATTTTTCCAACTAAAAAGGTCAACATGTCAAGTGCAAATAGCTTTACGAGATCATGAAAATCTTTTTTTCAATCAAAATTATATTAATTGACAAGAAAAAAGTTTTATTTGAGAAAAAAAATATATCAGACTTGTTGAAAAATTTTATAAATAACAATAAACAATCAAACATATGATAGAATTGCCCGAAGAAAGTTAACAAAAAAAAGCAAAAAAACAGAAAAACAAAAAGAGACATTCATTAATTGTTTGGTTGACTATGAGTCTTTGTTCTACCATAAGATTTTCTGAAACGAGCCGTACGACGAGGTGTTGATGTTATTGTCATTAATGGTGTTTTCTACAAAAAATGATTGATAACGTATATTTCAATATAAACAGCAAACTTACGAAAACTGATGATGTAAAAGTATCTTTTTTGTGGTCAAGTTTCGGGGAGGGATGTGCACAAGGTGATTGAAAAATGAGTTGACTATTACTAGAGTTCTAAAACGATATAAATGAAATAATAATAATTAATTCGTTAAATACCATACTAAAGACAAAGACGATAATTTTCGACGTTTAGGTGTTACTATTTCAAGATCATCATTTGAGCAATACGCATGATCATGTTTAATACTTGAATACAGAGTATGATTGACCAACTTAGATTTATCGAAATTTGAATATTCCAATTGGGAATCTTCATATGATTGATTAGAAACCACGTCCATATCAGATTCAGCAACACTCTATTTCAGGTAAGAAGAGAAAATTTTTTCTGAGACCATCAAGAAAGGGCAACTAATTGCTAACCTTATTCTTGATGTTGTTCGATTGCGATTTGATCGATATAATATCAAGTTCATTATCACTTTCAATAGATGCTGTTGTTGACTCCAAGTCATTCAAATCTTGATCATTAAATTTATCAGATGAGAAACTGTATGAAGTCTACATAAAGAAAGATTACAAAAGAAAAACGTTGTATAAGTTGTCAGTTTAAGTAAATGAATACATACACGATTAAAACAAATTTCATGATTACATTTGCAAAAAATTGTACACGATAAATTATTTTTAAAACACTTGCAACGAGTACAACCACTTTGACAATCACCACATGTTTCAAGACGATAATCATTCGGTTGATCACTTAATGTTGACCACTTGATTTTGAATCGATTAATAACAGGTGAATATTCGTAACCATAATGAGACATTGCAGGTGGAATTGAATGTGATTCAAGTGAGTCGAGCCATATTTTCAGTTGCCTTGAACATCTCAAGCAATGTTGTCGAAATGCCATAGTTGAAGGAGGGTGTGGGGGTGGGTGTGGGTG